GTAGTTGATGAATAAGTCTGGGGTGCGTGAGGCTTTGAGGTCGGATGTAGTGAGTGGTTGAATAATAAATCTGCGGTGTGTGAAGGAATGGGTGGTAGTGACGGGGGTCGGGTGATGACGATGATTGGTGGAACAGTCTGGGGGTCAGGTGATTGGTACAGTCTGGAGGTTAGATGATTGGGGCTGGGGTTGTGGAGCTTTAGGGAGGAGGTGGGAGGCGGAATGATTGTGTGATACGTTAAGGTCGCCTGATATTGGAATCGAAATCGGGTGTTGTAGGAGGTGTTGGGGTTGTGTGGGGGTGGGGATGGGGAGAGAAGACTTAAGATTGGGATCGTCCGGGGATAACTGGAAGCGTTTGTGGGGGGAGAGGGGGTGACGAGCATAAGGATGAGCAGGGGTGTTATTAGATGGGAGAAGTGAGCGGAATTTCTCCTCTAAAGTTCTGTACTATAATGAAGTAGGAATGCTAGCCCGCTTGTCTTAGCTGGATCCTGCTGATCTAGCAGATGCTTCTTTCGCCCCCAACAGTAGTAATGTTGATTACTTACCTCGATTGTTCTTCCTTAAGCTGTGCTAACGAACATACTTCCTTGTTCGCTTCCTGCGCCGTAGTTTGTTGCTTGTCTTCCCTTAAGGTTCTGTCACCTTCCTCCTCGACTCTCATGCTCTCGCCTCTTTTTTACTTTCGCAGTCTCGATCCTTCTCCGGACCAACGTTCGGTTGTGTTGATCGACGGTTTCCTAACTTAGGTTCCTCTTCTCCCTAAATCTCCTTTGATTTTCCTACCCCTCCATTCCCTCTTTCTTCGCTTGCTTATTATGATTACCTTTTGTCTGTATCCGGTTCTCCTTCCCTCTTTTTCTTCTCCACCTCTCTTCTTCTCGCCGCTTCTTGTGTTTCTTTCTTTTCCTTGATCTCTCCTTCTTGCCGCGATGTTGGCTTGCTCCGTTTGCTAAGATCTTGTCGCATTGTTCCTTTCTTTGCGTCTTGAGGGGCAGTGGTTTGTCTTCACTTGAAAAGGGGGAGTGCCTGTCCCGATTTCCCCTTTAATTGGAAAGGGACAAGGTCGATAGACCTTCCCTTGCGTTTCGACTTCGGATGCCTTGTTCATGGGAACTGTAGATCTTTGTCCTCGAGCGAGACCTATTTGAGTGAAGGCTGAGGCATCGTTTTGGCTGGCGCCACCAGCCATTTCGCTCCAGCTGCCGACCCTCAAGATTTGCAGCTTGCATCCAGCCACGTCGGAGAAAAATGGCAGGGAAACGTACTGGTCGTTTAAGAACCTGAAAATGCCTAACAGGTAGCTTTGGGTATACAGGCTGGTTGATTCTTTGTCATAGGGACAGTCAGGAAAGCCGGCTACCAGGCTGCTTCCCTGTGGGCTCATTCGGGAAGCCTTGTGAGTCACGGTAATGTCCTAGAGAGCTGCCGTAATCTTACTTGGGCCTTGGAATTCACAGAAGTTTTGGCTATGGAGGAAGCCCACTGTCATCATCGGTGAGGGTCCCTAGCCTTGCTAGGTGATGGGTGCTGGGGGTGGGAAGCCTCCAGCAGCCCTTGGGAGTATGTTGGTCATGTACACTCGATGAGATCAGCTTCAGTTCAGCTTCGGTTCAAATTCGGCTCAGCTTCGGTGCAGCTTCGGTGCAGCTTCGGGTCATCTTCAGTGAGGGCGATGGAATCCAGAGGCAGGGCACTGCAGCTGTAAGGAGCCTGTGGGGATTTCAAAGCTGAGTTCTTTGCTGTGGAATTTCCAAGTTTGTCAATCTTCAGTCGGAATCCCCTCCATGGAAGTATGGAATTGCCATGAAACTTCTCTTTACGATGATACATCATTCTGGTAGGAAGCAGAAGTTCAGGAGCAGGAGGAGGAGGAGGAGGAGGAGGAGGAGGAGGAGGTTGGTGAGGAAAGGGTCTCCCTTGTAGTAGTAGTAGTAGTAGTAGTAGTAGTAGTAGTAGTAGTAGTAGGAGGAGGTTGGTTGGAAGGGGGGTTCCCTTGGATAAGTGTAACCTGAAATTCCTCTTCACAGGTGTGATGTGTCCTGATAAGTACCAAGGTGCCGGTTGTGTGAGTTCGCAGACACATGTATGAATTGGGCAGGAGTTGAGCAAATCAGCACATGGTACACGAGTCTCATAGCCATTACCATCCCATTGTCTTTTCTGCCAGACTCTGCAGTCGTGAGTATGAGGAGGGCAAAACCCCACTCCTTGCTACTGTGTTGGATGGAGGGAAGCAGAGAGGCAGGAAGGGGGGAGTGGGCGTATATTCAGCTATAAAATGAGAAGTGTCTGACAATGTCTGTTACTGGTAACGACAATAAAAAAAAAAAGAAGGCATGTGATCCAGCTGTTATGCTATATACAGGGAGCCTGAGTTTGTTTCCCTGGCTGGTCATTAGGCCTGAGTCTACTTAGAACTTAGAAGACATTATCCAAGCATTAAAATTGTGGCACTTAAATAGTAAATTGAACTAAATTCCATTTCCTCATGAACTTAATTTCTGTGACTTGCTGTATGGGTGACTGAGCTGTTGGGTGTTCGCTTTCCTTCATTTTTAGAACGTCAATTCTTATTCTTCTTTGTTGTACCTGTTTATGCCTGGGATTACAGCAACTGGATCGGCCAATCCGGGGCCAGGAGCATACAATATTCGTCCTTTGGTTCGTGGACCTTTCTACACCATGACAGGAAAAGGACGGGACTTGGGGTCAGGTTTGACAGCATCTCCATTCCTTAAAAACTCTTTTTTTCTCCCTTCCCTTCTCCGAAGGCTCTGGGTCTGCCATCTTCACCCGAATAGACCACCCGGTCATTATAGCTGTGCATTTGGAGCAACTTTCAGACCAGATGCAGCGATAATGACCGGGTGTTTTATTCGGGTGAAGACGGTAGTAAGGATTTATCGGGCATTGCAAGTTCTCTCCTTCTCAGTTAACTTCTGTCACTTCAAAAAGGCTCTTTGTTTTTTGTTTTTTTCCCGTCAAGAAGGGGTTCACGAGAACCGCCACACTGAGTTCTATGTTCTTTTTTTTCTCCTCTCTTTCTTGCTTTGTTAATTGCTTCGTCAGAAGTAATACATTGATCAAGGGGTGGGAGAGATAAATGAGAAGTAACACATCTCATGTTTGCTCTGTGCATTTGCATCCAGGGCTTAGGGTTTAGGGTTTAGACTCTTCAAAAAAAGTTGAGGGATTGGGGTTTAAGGTTTAGAGAACTTCAGACAATCTAGGGTTTAGGGTTTGAGGGTTTTGGGTATAGGGTTTGGGGGTTCTGGGTATAGGGTTTGAGGGTTTTGGGTCTTGGGTTTGAGGGGTTTGGGTTTCGGGTTTGAGGGTTTTGGGTTTACGTTTGTGCTTGCATTTTCGTTGCAGTTGTGGTAATGGTTATTAGTCTTTGAGCCATGAATTTGTGGCTTGTGTGCTTTTATGGTGCCGTAGAATTGCTGGCTGAAATTCATTTAATCTTGCTGATCTGAAGTTCGTTTGTTCTTATCTGGAGTATTCCATCATAGTCAATTACAACCACCACTACCTCCGAGCCTCTGTTTGCCAGGGCAGAAAAGAAGTGTGTGCCAAGCTTTGATAGAGTGCCCGTACGGCTTTCTTTTTTTTCTGTTTTTTTTTGGCTGGCGCCGCCAGCCGTTTGGTCCGGGAGCACTGTTCACCCGAAGCAGGCGGTTTGTGCCAACTTTGTGGCAAATTGGTGTGTCGAGTTTGCCTGCGAAGGGTAGCGGTGGTTTATGAGCAGTTTCTAAAAGTTACCCAGTGCAGTAAATCTTATCCCGTTACAACTTAAGTGGAGTTTTTCTGAGGCTGCAATGGACACAGCTAGTTTTCACGATTGTGTAGAGTATTATCATTTATAAGTATCTCTATACTTATAAAAACTGCAGCGGGCCCAGCGTGACGCCACCGGGTGGGCCCAGCTGAAACAAAAAGAGGACCAAGTAGAGGCGGCCGGTGGCGGGTCCGGGTTGGGTCTGCGTCGTTTCAGTGGCGCGGCGGCGGTCCGCTGGCGCATTCCGGTCCGGGTCAGCAGCGTGGGGGCCACACAAGTATGGCGTGCGGGCCACGCAAGTTGTCGCGTATGGCGCGCCATTTTTCGGGCAGGTGCGGTGGGCCGAGCTGTTTCTCATGGGGCGGCGCGATCCGATGGGTGTTCTTATCTGGCCGTTCGTTCGTTGTCTACAGAGAGAGCGCGGACGTTGATTCAACGTGGACCGGGGTAGAATTGTCAAGGGGACTGCGCGCGGGGCTATATATGTGCGGTGCTGCGCGCTTACAACGCCAGCTCTATTGTTTGTGTGCGCAAGTATCGTTCTCTGCTCGCAAGCACGGCTCTGCTGCGCGCGCAATTGCTATCGACGAAATCGTTGCGGACGTGGAGAGGCGCGCAATTGGAGTTTGAGAGAGAGAGAGAGAGAGAGAGAGAGAGAGAGAGAGAGAGAGAGAGAGAGAGAGAGAGAGAGAGAGAGAGAGAGAGAGAGAGAGAGAG